AAAAATGTGTTGGAGAGAAAACGTCGAAGATGTGATTTTTTTTCAGTGCAAAAAAAGCCAAATTAAATGTATTCTAGCGTCAATAGAAGCTTATTGACCACAATCTTGGTTTTTATTTCTAATTAGGCTATATGTGTAGAAACTAAAAATACACTTGACAAAAAAGTATAATACTTTAAATAGCAGGATCCAACCTCGTTAATTGTTTAGACTTTTCATATTAAAAATACGTTAAATATTCTTAGAACCAAGAGAATCAGGAAAGAATTAAAAATTTTATGAACTACTGTGTTATGTCATGTGAGTGAAATAAGGGGATATTTAGATAACAAATGCTCATATCAAAGGATTTTTTTTCTCCATTACACTCAAGTAGAAAACAAATAATTTTCGAGGTTGCGCCGGCTAAGACATATCATTGCTTTTAAAAACACCAACATTTTATTGAAAAATAAACTGATGATTTATAGTTTATTATATATAATTAGAAAAGATTATGCTAGATAAATGTTTGAAAATTCATTGATGTACATGTACCTTAAGCAGTTTTAGTTTTATAGCGCTAGTCCACGAACTTTTTGATAATTCCTCGTAAGCAAATAAACCAATCGTGACAGGTTTTTTTTCTCGTGTTGCCATAATTGAAAAGTTTGGTTTGTATATAAAGAACGTCGCGAAGAAAATCGAATATAAGTGTTCAAGAAAAAAACACGTAAAGGTATTAGAATAAATTAAGATTTCATTTTGAAAGAGATGAAGAAAGATTTTCTTGCTTGCTCTTTACTGATAATTTGTGTACGAGCATTTCTACCTTCTAAAGAAAATACAAACGGACGGCCAGACTATACTCACGCCAGCATCACTCATATTGCGATCTACCGGGCTGTTGCTGATGTCATAAGTAACGTCATTTATCCAGGAAAATACAACTCTTCCGATCCTGATGACATTTTGCGTCAATTCTTTAGTAAGTATTAATGTTATAAAATTCGCCAAAGATTTTTCTTTAATTCGTATGCTTTCTTCAAAATGTTTTGGTGCATGGTCTCGGCAAAGGGCAAATACTTTTTCTTCTCCAAACACCTTTGCATTGAGAGGTGAAGTCACAGAATTGCTTCGATAAAATTTGTGGAATTTAACTTAAAGCTGTTAAAATTTAGTGTTCAAATTTGGAAATTCTCTATTTCATTTGCAATTAATCAATTTATTCAAATGTTAGAATTTCCTTAAGTTCTTGTATTTTACAAAATGGATAAAACCGTTTAACCAATCAAATGACGAGTTACAACTAAAATTAAATTATTTGCAATTAATCAATTTATTCAAATGTTAGAATTTCCTTAAGTTCTTGTATTTTAAAAGATCGGAAGTTCTTGCTTCAGTAAGCAACATTACGCACAAATATAAAAAAAAATGACATAGAACTTGAAAAAATGTCTTAAATAGTGGGTGGTATAAATTAAAATGAAACTGAATATTAAAATACAATATACAATATAAATTTTAAAATGAATAAAAATACAAAAACTTGAAACTTTTTTTTTTATCATATTTCATCATAAAACTTTGTTTTACAATGAACTTTTTTCCGAATTCATCTTGTAGACATTTATAGCTTAATACTCCTCAAATACTTTATAGATGATGAAGTACTGAACATATATTGATTTACAACAATTATCTATTCTCCATATCAAAAAATTAAAATTAATTATAGGTGAAAAACATAATTTGGATTTTACGAGTTTAATGAAAATACGTACTATGGTTGTAAATTTGAATACTTTTATTTATTATGTAAAAATAAAATACCAATGTACCTTTGATTCACTTTGACATTATAGGGATGGTTTATAAAGTGAGCTTTTTTATATTTAACCTACTTGTATCTGATTATGCAACAAAATGGTGTAGGTTGCATTGTTATCAGTTCCTTTTGGGAAAGATGCCCGTCAGTTTCTTTAAAACAGTATTCTTTTTGTGTTTTTAGTTCATTGATGATATCGAATTCAATTAATGTGTGATGACATTGTCTTGTCCATAAATTTTGAGTGTCTGGTGCTATAGCTTTCATATTTCACAGGTATACTCCTTGTGATAAGACTTTCTGAAGGTACCACCACATTTGACCTTTACCTTGGAGTTTGATAAAAATTTTATTCATTGTGACAATACTTTTCCAAAAAGTTTAAATATATTTTGTACCTTTTGATCTTGAACTCAGATTTTGACCCATCTTTAAAAAATATTTAACCTTGGTCAAAACTTTTAAACTGTTAGCATTTCACAGGTGTAGTCTATGTAAAAGACATTTCTATGGATACCAATTAAGCCTGTTTGACAAATATATACTCAGTTGACATTGAGTTTGACTTTGCTTAGTATAGGTTAATTGGGAAAGTGGTGGTTTGGAGAAAAAAAACCCTCAACAGTACCCCCCCCCCCCCCCCCCACCAAATTGATTTTCGTGTTTGGGCAAAACACATTTTTTTTTTTTTTTTTTTTTTTTTTTTTTTTGCTTGTCAGGTTTTCTGTGAAGGTACAAATTTTTTTTTTTACACTTAGCCCCCCCACTTTCAATTTGCTTCCGACGCCAATGTTGCATCTCGCAAACTTCAACCCTCAACAGTCGCCCGCAGAGTTGCGAAGTAAGGAGTCAATCCTTACGTCGCGGGTTCGAATCCCAGTGTGGGACGTGGAGACCGGTACTTCGGATGAGACCGTAAAAACCGAGGTCCTGTGTCGCAGTAGGTGCTGGCAAGAAAAAGATCCCTCCCTGCTCAATGGCCCTGAGTGCCCAGCATAGGACAAACTTTGCAGCTCTCCACGGCCAAGTGGTGGCGTCTCCATATGAGTGAAAAATTCTCGAGAGGGACGTTAAACAACATACAATCAATCAATCAATCACTCCTCAACATTAGCTACAGAACAGGGGAATCAGTGTCTCACAAAGAATCTTGTTTTCCATTTAGAGATAACTGTAATGGAATGTACTTTACGGTAAAATGTTGACATTGAAATAAAAAAAATCTTTCGAGAAGTATCAAAATGAAACCAAATTGAGAAAAAACGTATTAACATAAAAAAATCACTGTTTAATGGCGAAAACCACATAAGTCTGTTTTCAGAATACTAGGTTTCTAAGTCATATTCCACCTCTTCGGATACCTAGAATTTGATTAAAAATACTTGAATGTTTTTAACATTCCAAAGAACCAAAATGAATTTGAACTACCATATCTATATTGAATTTCGAAAATTCATAAACATTCTTACAAACAAAGGTAAATAGCAGATTCCAGTAAATGTTCAACCAATCCTCCTTCTTTACCCTTCACTTAAAATATTAACAGCGAGTAGCATTGACTTTTACATTTGACGGTTTACTTTTACATTTAAATCTGTATCATGTTAGGAGGTTCAGAATGAATACTAGATACGAAAACCTTTCTAGTGGTCATAGGTATTATGCTAGGGGCAATTGAGGGTCGGAAGTTGAGGGTAGGATGAATGTCGTTCTCTTCAAGAACGACTTATTTGTATTTTAAGTTACCCGTTATTTTCGTTTAATTAAATGTTTTGCTAAATCTTTATATCGTAAAAGAACTCCTGTACATTGTTTTAGTGTAAAAGTAAACTATCAACTGTAAAAGTCAGCGCTCCTCTCAAAGTCCAGTAGTGAAGGAGAAACTTCAAGAGTACTGTGCAGCAATATATTCAAGAAGTAGTGCAGATCAGATTTGGATACTTAAAAATTCCGAGGAACTTTTTGAACAATTTGAAATCACAAGATTTTTCATAAATCAAAAATTTAAAAACTTACGACTTTTCAACTTTATACACAACCATCCCCACGATAAATTAAAGTTCATGCTTTTTGATCTCATTGACAACTGTTCTTTTTTTTTTTTTTTTTTTTTTTTTTTTTTACAAAAAATGGAACTCGTAAATGTACTTACCTTGTCAATGGGCATTTGCAAAACTATTTTGTTAAAAAGATTCTGATTGTGCACACAACACTCTACAGTTGACATCAAAAAGATGCTTGAGTTTCTGATTGACAATATCATTGTGGTTTTTGGAGACAAGTTCTTCCAAATATCAATTATAAATCCCATGGGTACCAATTGTGCGCCGTTATTAGCAGACCTATTTTTTTATATCAGTATGAGGCAGGATTTGTACAAAATCTTATTCGTGAAAAGAAGAAAAAACCTGCTGTAGCCTTCAACTCAACATTTAGATATATCGACGACGTATTGTTAATTAACAATGGTATTTTCTATTCTTATATCGATACAATATATCCAGGTGTGCTTGAGATAAAAGATAAGAGTTTAAGACATGTGTTTCACATTTTCACAATCCTCAACTTCCCTTACTTATGCAGCAATATACCTGCATCACCTGCAAACGAAGTTTATATAACTCAGTTGATTCGATACGTAAGGGCACGCTCTACGTATGAGCAATTTCTAAAACGAGGTAAATTATTGAAAAACAAGTTGTTGAAACAAGAATATCAGCAGCCCCGTTTAAAGTCATCATTTCGTAATATTCTTTGGTCGATACAATGACCTTGTCAGCAAGTACAATCTATTCTTGAGTCAAATGCTGACTAATTGAAAGTCCATTATTTATACACCGTGGCTCCTCATCCCACCTCTGATGTTTTGGACGTCCGTGTTTGCTCTGCTCCTATTTTGTATTGTTTTATGGATTTTGATATTGAATACTGTTCGTTATCTCCATATCCTTCATCCATTTTTTCCCGATCATGACAAGGAGCACAAAGTGGGTGAGACCGATCAGTATTCAAGATCAGAGTCATAATACAATTAAAAAAAATAGGAGTAGACCAAACATGGACCTCCAAAATATCAGACTTGGGATCAGGTGCCGTAGAGGAGAGAGCTTACCGGTCACGTCCGCCGCGTGCTTCTTATCATGATCAGAATGGGATAAGAAATGAAGTATTTTTGTTTTATTTTTTCTTTCAGTGCAACTTTTGTTCGCTTTTCTGTACTATACTTAGGAGGTTTGTGGAGCAAATACGCAGAAGCTTCACGTCTCTCGGTTGTTCCTTTGCTAATATTAACTTATATGTAAGTGTTTTTTATGTGTTGAATAGGCAATTACGAAATGGAAAATTTTGTCCAAACGGTCAAAGATATCGTTGATGAAAACAATTTGGCCCAAAAGACCTACATGAGCGATGCAGTCAGAACAATGAATTGTGAACAAATCACTGCGGGTGAGTTAAAATGGAAGCTTGATTTTTTTTTATTTTAAAAACTGCTGCTTGAATCAGATCGTATGTATGGTTATTCCACTTTAAAACCATATTTTAGGACATTTAGTTTTTCTTGCTGTCAAGATTTTATTTTTTTTTTGTCTTTCACAGTGTTTATCTATAAACTTCTCTTTCATGTAGTGATATTAATGTTATTCAACTTTATTTCTTTGTTTATTATCAAGGTCATCTCCTTCTTCGGTCCTTGAGAGAAAACATAATCTATAAATCACAGGAAACTAAAACAAACAGGGATGTCATATTGGATTTGATTGGTCAATATCTCTTCACAATGCAAGAATTTTACAGCAATACAAATTGGGTGGAAATGTTTGGAACTCGTGTTTGTACGGAACTTGGTAAGTTCAACGTCAATTTTGATTCGGTAGAATTAAAGATAAATGAGTGCCTGTTTCCATGTTATAGAAAATATTTCCAGGCGTTCCAGGTAAATCACTACCAGTGAGAGTTTCTGACCCGGAAGAAGTTACCTGTGTCAACTGTAACTACTCAAACAATGGGTAAAGAAATCCATCCTTCATATCCCTTCTTAATTTTGGCGATTACAAGATTGTGTTTGATACTATTTGTTTTGTAAATGTCAGAAGAGATTATATTTGCATTATTACTATATCACGTGTTACGTATTACGTGTATATGTACCATTTTCAGAACAACAGAACTTATGATTAACGGTCTTTTTTCTTATTTTCTTTAATTGACAGAACTTTTTGTTCAGACAACAATAAAATGAATGGACAGCTGCTCACCAGCGGTTATACTAGTAATCAAGGAATTAACAAACCAATCGGTATCATTAATGATTTTTTTTAATTATGATGTATGCTACAATTGAAGCGCCGAGAACATTGAAACAATAGGTATACTGTATACAGGGTTATTTTCGCCCCGTCTTATTTTCGCCCTTTTACACATGCAAACAATTTTGCCCCGTTTTAAATTCGCCCAGTCATAGTTTTGTTTAAGAAATTATACTGTATTCTTTGATTTCGCCCGTTTTAAATTCGCCCAAATGCGGATAGGGCGAAAGGGACGAAAATAAAACGGGGGCGAAAATGTCCCTGTATACAGTATTACAAATATAATGTTTTACATGATATGAAAGTAATATTTATTTTTTCGAATGGATTTTCTCTTTTCGTAGGGGCATTCCCATCTGGTATGGGTAAATGTAGTCACGGAGGCCCATTCGATAATAGTAAAGCGATCCCAGGCACTGGTGGCATAAACAAGGAGACATCAAGTCCTGAATTATCTCCTCATTTTTATCTCCATCAACAGGCAGGCGAAGCCGCAACACAGGCTACCATTGACTTTCTAGTTGAACAAGGTATATTATCACACCAAAATGATGAGGTTTTCTGCTTTGCTACACGGCATAATATTTGATAATAATATATTGATTAAAAAGGAATCAAAATTATCAACAAAATGATTACTTTTTTAAAGAAAACATTTGAGCCAGAAAGGAACAAAATTATATTAATACTTCATATTTGTAGACACTGGGCTTTTATCCGTCCTCGGGCTAGACAAATTCAGAGAACTGATGGGCATGAATTACAAAACTCCATGCTACTCTTGCCTAGCTTCTGGACTCTCTGTTGTGTTTCACGATCCTGGTTGTGCAAGTGAGGATATCAATATTGCAAATCAGTATAGCGTTGATATAGTCAACCAGACACTAATTGTTGGTGCATATATGCACCGATGAACCTTATATTGACAATGTTAAATGATTGGGGTCTAAGTATTTGTTCTTTTTTCATGACCAAACAAATGTCTTTTTTTAGTGATTTATCGTAGATATTTGATATTCAGTCTGATTTGCTGATTGTATAATCCTCTATGTCAGTAATTCATTCTGCATTCTTCTAATAGACACAATTGTAAGACGCACCAACAATGGAACAGATTTGAAGCAATGGTTGCTTGCAAAAAGTGCTCTTAGGGGAGACATCAGCTGTTATAATATAACCCTGGAAGGCTTTGTTAAAGGTACTGTGTAATGGAAATTGCCAATACTATTGAAGTTTTTATTTCAATTGTTATAGGCATAAGTCAAATATTAATCTCTACCTTTCATAAAACTTTTTTTTTTCTGAAATATTGTTAATATGCGTAATTTCTATGGCATATATATAATTTCCAATATTTTTTTTTATTTCATTAAGCAATCAAGATAACCAATCCAGGGTCATGTCTGTTCATCTTCGTGGATATAAGAACAAAAAATGCTTTTCAGTTACAGAAGGTTTTTGATTTAATAAAAAAGAAAGGAATAAAAGTTCAATTTTTCCTAAGAGGAAAAAGTGATGGAAGAAAATTACGCCCTCCTCTGAAAGTTTCTGAAAATTTGCACGGTATTCCAAATAAAATTCCAAAATTGAAAGGTATTTGTAGGAACAATCACCTTAATATTTTTTTTCGATTTTTATAAACTTCAACAAATAAGAGGGTTAAACTCAAATAAGTGACAATAGTGGGCGAGCGCTGCCAATTTTTCTCCTTTTTTCCTATACAACTTTATTAAAAGGATACAATCGTTAACAACGACTATCTTAAGATATTTCTACATTGCAAATTGATATGTATTTTAAGTTCACGGTGACTCAACTTTTCTCTTTATTTCATAAGAGCGGAATAGACGAGGCCTTGCAGGCTTAGATTTGTTTGAAAAAATAGCTTCCGCAACTGGTGGAAAAATTGTACATACGTCATCATCTTCACTTGGGAGCATCTTGGGAGCTTTTGTTACGGTCAGTGCCTTAATCAGTGAACTGAGGTACAGAAACGTTGCCCCCTGAATCATATGTTTTACTTTTGGCTACCATCAAAGACCTTTTGTAAGAACCTAGAAAAATATAATTTTAACCTCCCCTTGGAAACATACGAGGGCGTGCAACTATGGACATGAGTCAAATTCACACGCTTTTAACGTTAACTTAAGGTAGTCCGATCCTCAGGTTTATTAACTTAAAAGTTAAGTAATCCAAAATACTCATAAAGTATCTCAGAATCCACAAAGTAATGTAAATTTACCCACAGTATTTCTTTAAAGTTAAAGATAAAAGTTAATCATATTATATAGGGAAAATTGTCAATAATTTTGCAGAAAAAGCGAATTGGAAAATCAGTAATGATTTTCTAACTGCAAATTGATCAACAAATGTATTTTAAGTTATAAATCGATCGGTATCCAGGCATTCAGAGAAACTGTCATGGTTTTTTATACTTATTTGGTACTTTTGTCTTCTATTTTCGTCATGTATTCTATGATACATAGTGTAATAGGCTTTTGCCATCATTGCAAGACACCACCAGTCACTTATTATTTCATATCATGCTAATAATCATTTGTATCTAAGGCTGGATTCAAGAAAATCTTATTTCATGAAAACTGTATTACTTTTTTTCCTTTTATAGGGTATAAATGTCAATTTTTTAAAGGCCTTTTCGAAGACTTCGAAAAGCCTTGAATTTTATAAAGATGAATAAAATGAAAATTGTTGCATGAAAAAATTTCATTTTCTAGCTTCATTTTGATGCATTTAAAATTAAATATGAATTTTTGGAGTTATCCTTCCTAGCTGAGGATCGGATATCCTTAAGTTGATGTTGAAGCTTGGATACAAGCTTTAAAAGTTATTCAGAATTCAAAGACAAATAATTGCCGATGTATAGGTTTCTTTTTATTTCAAAGACTACGATTTACTTACAGAAGAACATGGGTGTAAGCTCTTTAGAAGTGACGTCATTTGAAATGTCGTCTGGTTCCGTGCACACAGTAGCCGTGGATACGGATTTATCACTAATGACGGTCCGGATAGAAGGGTTATCGTCTGCCTCAGACGTCGAACTTGATCGTCCAAGCGGTAAAACTTCAACACGTATGACATTTTCGTACAAAAAATATAGATTCAGTATCAATACTCAATATAACCTTAATATTTTTTGTAGGAACTCAACAAATATTTTCGGGCAACTCGTCTGTTGACGTGATAGGGAGCACAACTGTTATATCAGTCAAGGTTAAACCTTAGCATAATATATGTCTTTATATTTATTACAAATCACTAATTCTTATGAATAATGTGAATGAAAATAGATGAAATATTCTCTTTTACATTGAGTATCTGTATTTCATAATTGTATATATTTCTAAACATGTCGGAATAATTTTGATAGAATCCTCCCCCGGGAAAGTGGAAACTGCACAACAATGGAGCTGGCACATGGAAAGTGAAAGTTGGCGGAAGTGGAAATATAGATTTTACATACAAATTTATGGAAGATGTACATGGAATACAGTACCCTATAAGTGGAACGAGTCCAATTACTGGTAACTTTTTAACGGCATGCAAATATAAAAACTGAAATAAAATTACTTTCTCCGAAATAAAAAGTGAATGAAATCTGTCTCTTCTGTGAATTTAACAGAAAATATTGTGTTCTTTGTGGAAGAAAAAATGATAAACGGATTAAAAATTTCAGGATCCAAAATAACCATCAGTGTAACAGTGACCGGCTTACCTGCAGCAGCACGTGTTACCAATATTATACTAAAGAAACCAGACGGCGCCGTTCTTGACGTACTTCCGGTCAAGGATACATACAGTGGCACCAGTCGAGTTCTATATGCCAGTTATATCGTTACATCTGAGGTATTTCTTAGATGATGTCTTAAAATACTATATATAAACTCTCACCTTTCTACACAAACACGATATAGTTTTACAAAGAAGTAGGACAGAATCTGCACGAGATTCAATGCAGGTATAACCCCATGCTTAACTGGGATGGTGATTAACAAAACTGACAAAGTCAATATTTAGAAATGATTTTTTTTTTTAAATACATCTCTTTTCTTTGTAATCAAATATATATCTGATAATATACTATAGTATTTGAATTATATGGACACATTTTCAGGAGTTTTTTATCAGCATCAACGGTAGTTTGAATTCTCATATATTTACTCGCGAGAAATCAGACATTATCACTCCCGTCACTGGCAGTATACAGTTCTCATCAAAACCAGGTTAGTCATCTTTATTTTATGTAATTTTTATAATTGTAAGTGACATCATCTTCGAAGATAATAGAAATGTTTGAATGTTTAAATTAAATATTAAAACTTAACCTCATATTGTGCATATTCAAAGTAAATTACATGTACACATTGTGTTAGTTTAAAGAAAACAGATGATTAATACTCTAGCACAAAGTCCACGCCATTTGATTTAGTATTTTTCAGACTATACTTTTATAATTTACATGCAACAAATACAGAATAAATACTTATTCATGTATTATATTCTATATTGAATGAAAAAAATTGAACTTTTGGTGTACTGTTTGATTACCATGCAAGTACAGAATTAACTTATAATGTAGTAGAGTCTATTAGTCAAGAAATATAAACATACCATTTTAATAATAATTGCAGAAAAACTAGTCCTTGGAAAATCAACTGTTGTGAAGGTAAACATATCAAACACAGGAAGTACAAGTCAATCCTTTAGTGTGAGTGCTTCTTCCGTCCCTCCTGGATTTGTATCCAGCTACCTCCACAGTGTGGCAGTAGGTGCTCACAGCAGTCAAGAAATAAACATTAGGTTGACAGGCTCATCAGATACATTAGCGTGAGTATATGGTGATGGTGTAAAGAGTGATAATTCAAAATTGACTTAAAGTAACAAGATTATTAGAGTTGACATTAGTTCCCTGAGCTTATTGTAAAGATCATGAATCATGATACCTTAAGGCCAGCAAAAGGATTAGGTCTAAATCTAACTTATGCTAGCAGTTCAGTCTTTTAATTTCTTTTTTTTAGAAATTGCATTTCAGTATTTAAAACTTTAAACAATCCAGTCAGCCAAAGTGAGTTCGCTCTATTTTACCTATATTGAGTTTCTTAAAAATCCTTAGAAACAGAGATACATTGTTGGATCAAACAAAGCTTTCCTAAGCCTCCTATTTTTACTCCTTACAAAAATATAAATTGCTGTTAAGGTATGTCACTCTTCAGCATTTCAGAAAATTTCACACAGAACCTCTTACTTCAAAACTATTATTCTAATTCACTTTTTATAACATATTTAAATTCAACATTTTACAATTTAAACTGCTCAAAAATCGTCAAAGAAGCAAGATTCATGGGGGACTATTTCTCTGATTAAACATCAACAAAATAATTTATTAAAAATTTCACTGATTTTACACACAGGTACTCTGAAGTTGATATTATTGATATTAAACGGATGCTGGACTTCCTCTTTAACAACATTTATGTGGTCTTCGGAAACCATGTCTTCATCCAAACTAGAATTCCAATTGGCACTGCTTCTGCTCCTATATTAGCTGACCTGTTTTATATTTTTATGAAGCAGAATTAATTTTGAAAGCTTCTACATGAGTTGAAGGAACCGCTTGCTGTAGCCTTCAATTTGACATTAAATATGTAAGACTCCAAAGTCCGATGGTGACGCCAAAGTCCGATGGTCTCGCCAAACCCCGATGGTCTGCGCCAAACCCCGATGGCACGCTGTCTTTACGGACGCCAAAGTCCGATGGTCATGCGAAAGTCCGATGGCTCGTTTCCTATGAGACGCGCGACGCTAAAGTGCGATGGTCTGACACGCCAAAGTCCGATGGTGCGAAGGAACAATCAACGTTCATGACGTCACAATAGTCCGACGTCATGACGTTGTCCTGCATTCAAAATCCAATATTTACATTCAGTGTAATTTTCCTTATGAAATCCATTAGAAATCCACGACGTTCAAAGCTATAACAGGGCGAAACCTTGTCACCATTCGTTAGAATACAGGGTTAGGAACTACATGCATTTTCGAGAGATTTTAAGGAATACCAAAATGTAAAATGTTTTATTTCAATTTAATGAAAAACTACAACGCTGAAAAATTAACGAAAAAATTAACGTAATGTGCATTAAGAATTTATTTGTCATTTTTTTTCCTCGCAATGTTTGTTTGCGTTATTTAACTTTGCAACGTCATTTAACGTCATTTGACGTCACAAACGGCTCTTACATCTATTAATTACGGCAGTTTTAAGGGCGCTAAATTCACATTTAAGAAACGAAATAAGAAATTATGAAAAAGGAAAATTAGAGAATGTAAATTAGAGTCATTTCTTATAATTTAATTTTAAAATAATTTGGGGATGTAAAATTGTGTTGTTTTTATTAGTTCAAATTTACCGCGCAATAACACACCGTAGTAACGGAAGTGATGGGAAGCAAAGGGGAGGTAAAAACCGCGCTAACGCGCGGTATTCAACTGTTTGAAGTTAAAGGTACATTCATTAAATCTGGAATTTTTCGGAATCCGAAGGACTGTGAGGGGATTGATGGATACAGATGATTCAGCTGGTTGTCAAGGGGGTGACATCCAAAAAATTATACAAAATGTTATGCGTTCCTTTTTGGAAATCAACCAATGAGAGACAAGAATACAAACAGAATTAAATTATTTTAAACAAATCGGACTTAGGCATGGCGTGGCATCGAATTCTTACATTTTTACTGATATTGCTTATTGCGTTTGGTGTGTCCACCATCGGGGAGCTATTAGGGCTAGTCCTACAAATGTGACTGATAATGTGTTTTCAATGAACAAAATTTCATGGTCATTATTAGTCGGTATATTGACTTTGTTAACAAATATATCCTTTCATTCGATAATATTTGAATTTTTCATAGATATTGTTAGCCCTGGTTTTTGTACTGAATTTAACTAAAGAATGTTCTGCCTTTCTAATCAATACACAGGGCACACGGTAAGTGTGACCAGTTAACATTGGAGCTTATAGTTTTAACATAAACATTTTTGACTGATAAGTGTTAGTTTTCGCACCTATATCTAAAAGATGAGGGTAACATGATCTTTGCATTTAATGTTTATTTGTACTTTATTTTTAAACAACCCTAGTTTTTCGTAATTTACATATATTGCTTAAAAAATTAATCAGTTACATTTTTGCGCAGTTGCATAAAAGTTGACGTCATAAGACGTTTTTGTTAATAGATTTCGTGTAAAAATACAATTAAAAATTATTCTTAATATTTGAAAATTATAAATTATAATAGTGATTCATTGTAAAAACATGGCTTTTGTTTATCACTCGGACTGTTTTCAGTGACCATCGCACTTTGTTTTGAAAAATGTCGCCCATCGCACTTTGGAGTCCTACAAATGTGTTGGCGATGTGTTACCAATGAACAAAATTTCATGGTCATAAATTATATAATTTAATTAATATTTATTAGTACATATATGCCATGTATATTGACTTTGTTAACAAATATATCCTTTCATTCGATAATATTTGAATTTTTCATAGATATTGTTAGCCCTGGTTTTTGTACTGAATTTAACTAAAGAATGTTCTGCCTTTCTAATCAATACACAGGGCACACGGTAAGTGTGACCAGTTAACATTGGATGCTTACTCATCATAGTCACCTGATCTCATCTCTCACTTAAGGGTCCGTGTTTTTCCTTCTTAAATGTTTTCTTTTGGTCTATTACTATTATCTTCACCGTTTCACATCTAATCAATGTCCCCTGATTTGTACACCATTTTACTATGGCATTGACCAGTGAAATAATTTTTGAGACACGAATGAGGTGAAGATTTAAACATGGCTTTAGTGGATGAACTATATCATGCTAAGTATGAATGAATACCATATGCACGGTTATTCATTATCACTATCTCATTCCCCAGCACTTCTGCTCTATTCAGTCTGTCTTTTTAGTCAAGATCTTGCTGTATTTTTATGTTATAGGCACAACAAACAGTACATAAGTTATAAAGCGCTGTAATCATTCTTGAACCTATGGTCTGTTCATGGTTTTCTGATAGACGGAGGACAAGCAGACAACCAAGCTTAAAACAATATTTTTGTATTGTGCTATTTTTTCAGGCTATTGACCGTAAAGCTAAATATTGGATCAACAACACTTCAAACAATTAAAAGGACTCTTGAGGTATGATTCCGAGTTGAATGTGATCAGATTTTTTTATTCGTCTAATTTTATTATATTAATAATAATTCTTCTTGATAGGTTACTAAGATAGAACCGCCACAAATCATGGAGATTAACAAGACAGACGACTGCAAACAGAACATGATGAATTACTATAACTGTACAAAGCAAAAGTGGACAACTGTTCTTGATATTAAATTTAAAGTCAACATGAGCAAACTTTATGCGACACCCAGTAATGTTAATTTTTCTTATATCAACAATACTCCAACTTCCTATATAGCTACATTAAGGTATTTGCAATCGGATTTCCATTTTACTTCATTTAAGATCTTATTTGTTTATACAACTTTTAAATAAAATTCTGGATAATCTCAGTATTTATTGCATTGAAATAATTTGTTTTCTTTTCCTTCTATATTTTATGTGGCATTCCTCATCTTTTCTTCAGCGGAACATGTTGTTCATACCTTACACGAGTGACTGCTATAGATGTACGAGGCAATATGAAAAGCAAATCCTTCGATTTCTCTGGCGGAAATATCTTTAATACCACGGTCGATAACTTCGAACTTCTTGTGAAACCAAGCCCATCCTTTGAAAAGGTAAGATATACTGAATATTAATATCTTTTTAAACAACAACATTTAGAGAAAAAGTAAATTACATGTATCAGCTGTTTTTGTTCTTACGTAGAAAGAGTTACCTACTGGAGCGGATAAAACTCTGCTTTATGGTTTGATTGGTGGAGGTGTTGCGGGCCTCTGCGTAATCGCACTGGTCATTGCAGCTCTAATTTACGTCAATAAATCACCTCAGCCTGCCATAGAAGATTCCTTGTCATCCGTATGTTTTGATGCTCCATTGAAACATGTTGAACACAACAGCAGATTAAAATTTGTTTCCAAAACACGTGGAAAATGATTGCCACGCATTTTTGTAGATCTGATTGTTTAAGTATTTTAAAGAAATATGTTTTTGATGCCTCCTGTTGTTTTGCCTTCAAACATTTTATTTATGCATAAAAACATGCTTATCGCTTAAAGCAAAGAAAGTCATTGAAACATGTTTTAGTTAACATAAAATATATGCTATATTAAAATACTGTATTATTTGATTTCTGTCTGTATGAACTTCGCTGAATGTAAGTATCCACCTGGTCATCGCTTATTGGGTTATCATCAGACAGTCTCCAAACTTAAGCGAATGTTGAAACCATAAACCACACCATTCTCCTGTAAGTGGGTCAGCAGTGGTTGCCAATCCACTTCTTTATGATTCTTGACTTCTACACAGATAATCTAGGTTGTTTCATATCCAGCAGGATGACCTCAATTTTGCTTCTTGTAGATTCTTGTTACTTGTCTTGCATGCTCTTTTTGCTATTCCTACTCATTCAAGCAGCTTGCAGACCGATTGCCCTGGGAAACCTCTGCAGTAGACCTCCATTGGAAATAGCCAGACGTTCCATCCTTTATTCTTAATGTCTGCAATGAGGTCTGCATATTCAAAGCTCTTTCTCTCATTTTTCCTTGCAATTTTATTCCCAAGACACGGTCAGCTCTATTACGACCAAAATCTTCAAATGCTGGAACACTAATACTGCGTATGGTCGTAGGTTGGTTTCCATGTGTGAGAAAATAATTTCCTTTCTAGATCCATTCTGAGGTCGCAGTTAAAACCTCTATCCAACCTTGATGTCTGTCTTGCTTCTCCTGTGTCAGCCGTTGCTTCAACCTGTCTTACAAACTGTAACCGTCATTGTTGGTCGTTTCCTTCACTCTCAACTTCCACTCCACTTCCACACATTAGCCAACTCCTTGAGAGAATTTATCGTGTCGCCATCTATATCTCTCCTGAGTCAGCGTTTCTTTGCATCCTGAGATTATATGCGCCTTGCTCCTTCTATTACACACTGACTGCAGTTTGGATCTTCGCTTAGTCCGAGCTGTAACAAAATTACAGGAGATTGGAGTGTTTTATACACTGACCTCAGTCTCAGCATGAACGAAATTCTAATCTTGTCCTTCGTCTTATTCCGGCTTCGGTAGGTGACCGTAAGTCCCACTCAATCCAGATTCACCTGTTCTATTGATCTTGCTTTCTGTTGATCTTTCATAATGCACTGTACTTTTGCCTGAACTCATGCATGGTACGCCTCTCTGCTGCTGATGCTTTTGGCCACTGCTGGAAATATGGCATTACCACGGCATGTCGTCGAGTGCGTATTTTCTAATGATGCCTCTTAAGTTTAACTTGCGATCCTGTTATCTGCTGAGTTCCGAAACATCATCACTAAGAAGTATTTTTTCTTCCTTGAATATGTGTCCAATCGATGTAATTGAAGGTAAAACTCCTAACTCCTAGGTTACTGTCCAAAATGTTCAATTTTAAAATAAACATTACTTCATTATTGCTTTTTTCTAATCGGGAAGCTGTTTATAGAAAAGCGTAAATTGATTCAACCAAAGTTATATCAGCATAACATGGGTAGCTATTAAATTCATTTCTTATGATTTAATTTGAAATCATGGAATATTGAAATTAAGTAAATTAAGTGAATTTCTCTTTCAAATTAAGAATATGTATTAAAAGTAATGACAAGTGGATTGAAACGCTTTAACATAAGTCATTGTGACATTGGCAACATTTATACAACTTATCTTAATTTTTGAACCAGTACATGTAAAATGACGTATTAAAACCAATTTATTTCAAATTAAATAAACCATACAGAGTATATAACATCTCATAATGGCTTAACTGACAGTTTTGCTTTTGGCAAACAATGGAGAAACTGTATTTGTTTCTTCTTCTCTTGCTAAGTAAATCTTGGTACACATGGTTATATGATCAAGATAACAGTGTTTATCTTTCTTTAATAGTGGGATGACTGTTGTTAAAATAATTGATAGAAGTATATATTGAAAGATGACTTGCCCTGCATTGTTTGTCGGTTTCATATTACACACGTGATGCCTTTTTAAAAATCAAAGTACTGAAAGCACTCATCGGAGTTGAACATGGTGTAAAATAAAATATTTGATCGGGAAGTTGAGTGAACAATACTATTATTTCAAATACAGACAACTGTTTAAGATTTTTTGAGTTGCAACAATCTTGAGAAAGACATTCAGAGACATTAAATAGCAAAAACATGCATGGACCATAATGCTTGCCTGCCTACATTAGTCCTTTTTTAATACCCCCTGCTTGAAATGCGGGAGGGTATTTATTAATCGGGATTTCCGTCCATCTGTTTGTTACGCTTTAGGTATACCCATCTCTGATCCGCAACTCAGGATCCTCTTACACCACTGAACGAATATTCATATTAAATGCGGCTGATCATTTATATAATTCACTGCTCACAGTCTTCAAATTTGTAATATATTTTTCCTTGGCACCTTTACCCATGTCTTATGAAAATTTCAGTTTCGCAGGAATAATATCAATGTTTGTTATATAAAACTTCTCTGTGAATATAATGTATTTCAATTACACGAACATGATACATGGAGTACGTCAGATCTTAATCTTTTTTAATATTGTGGAGAGAAAAAAGCAATACCAAGTTAAAAACAAATATTTTATGACCAAACATAAAAGTAGTGGTATATGTGAGAGTTTGTGTGCGTACAAATTATCTGGTATGTAAATGAGGTTTTCCTTTTATTAAAAAAAAATATACTTCATTTTGTTTTTTTTAATCGCGATTTTACGAAAACATCGGTGTCCGTCTTTGGGTTTAACATTTATAACAGAGTACTAGATTTTTGGCAGGTGATACTGCTGATTTAGTAATAAATACAAATGTTTCCTAAAGTTTTCATGTCATGCATTAATGAATTCATTTAAACCAAGAAAATGTTCATGAAAAGTTTGAATAAATTCTGTGCACCGGTAAAAAAGAAATTGCTAAAAATCCGGTACCGTCGGGCGTCGGGAAGACTAGATTTACCGCTTGCCGTCAGTATGTAGAGTTATCATTCGTATCTCTTTCAGTGTATGACGCTACACTAAAAATGAGTTCCATTACGAAAAACTTTTGAGGTTCTTTATAATTTAGTTTTACTTTGAACGAAATCTAATATTCAAAATAAGATTACTTTATCATTACGTATACCATTATGAAAATTAGATCAATTCAGGACAAAATGACATGAACTATTTGTGGCGGATGTTTATGCATGTTTTCTGTTGAATATCATCGGAGTAAATGTGACACAGTAGCCTCGCTTTCGGCTCTATATAATCAACACAAATTACTGCGCATGTTAAATGCGTGATGACCATGGGAGATTGAACTTAGTTCAACTCCCAAAAATACATTGTTTACGGTTTTTTTGCCACTTCAATGGATCTCATAATGCTTTTCACGAATTTGTCAGTGATTGAAGAGAAAAAAGGCATAATGTTTAATTTTTTTATTCTTTTACTACTTCGATGAAATCGCGCAGTAGAATTTATTCAACTTAAAATACTCGATAATACTGGCATGAGCATTTAACTGGTTTTTTTTTTATTTTGATATGACCAAATGTAATCATTGCAGGTGACATATAAGGACTGAAAGAATGCATGCAGGTTAATTGGGTGGATTTTATGCTATTTAATCATCTTTACCGTGTCTCTTTATCTTTCTGAATGGAAAGTTCACAAATCGTTCAAGAAGTTTACATGGGTCAAGTTTGTTTTTCGCCATTATTATCAGAAACAATTTAAATGAGTGCATAATTTGTAGCACTTTTCTATGTGTGTGGCATTTTGATATCGGCATAATTTTGTTTCCAAATTGACATCATTTTCCAAGGATATTCGAGTTGTCGGAGTTCATATGATCAATTTCAGACAAAAACGTTTTTAAATAAATAAATGTTTTATAAAGCACCTCGTGAAAATGCAACGTCCAAAAAGTTGTGTTTAGTCATCAACAGAATTACTCAGTTAAAACACTATTATTCAAATTACCCTGAAATTGATTGATTGATTGTTGTTTAACGTCTCTCTGGAGAATTTTTCAATATATGGAGACGCCACCACTTGCCGGTGGAGAGCTACACATTTTATCCTGTATGCGGCACTTAGGGCCATTGAGCAGTGAGGGATCTTTTTCGTGACAGCACCTACTGCGACACAGAACCTCGGTTTATACGGTCTCATACGAAGGACAGGTCTCCACGTCCCAAAGTGGGATTCGAACCCGCGACGTACGGATCGACTCCTTACTTTGCGACTCTAGAGCAGACGCTCTAACCACTGCGCCGCGCGGACAACCCCTGAAATTGAAAATGATGCTGGAGTTCCTCACTAACAACACCAGTGTAGTACATGTCTTCAGACACACTGTTGAAATTGCAATCGACAATAATTGTGTTCCTTCAAAGCCGATTTCTATATTCTTAGGAAGCAGAATTTATTTTTATAAAAACAAAATTGGAATTCAACTCCCAACTTAGATATATCGACATTTCATCAATTAACAATATTTACATTAATTCCATTCATATATCGACTCAAGAGAACTCGAAATAAAATACACTTGTCTGCAAAATTTTTGTCAAATTCGGATGTCAACATACTAAAGACAAAATAGGCTAACTAAGTACTAAACTGAATGATAAACGAGATACTAGTTATCAAATATTCTTGTTGCCTGCGTGGTGCAGTGATGAGAGCGTCTGCTGTATAGTCGCGGAGTAAGGAATTGATCATTACGTGGCAGTTTCGAATTTCGGATGAGACCATTTATACCAAGTTCCCGTGACGCAATATGTGATAGCATTAAAATGATCCATCACTGATCAAGACCCGAGAGTGTTAAGTACATCTCTAAATTTGTAGCCCTGAACTGACAAATAGTGGCTTTTCAATATGAGTGAAAAATTCTCGAAGGGACTTTATACATACAATCAAACTCATAC